GGGGGGGGGGGGGGGGGGGGGGACAGATACTCCGGCGAGTGGATGCTCGTTCCACAAGGAAGTGATGGGTGAAGGACTAAAGCGTACGAAGTGGAGGATGCTTACTAGAAATACGAGGAGAAGGTGACGGCTGAGCCGGAGGAAGAGGAGACGGGAAGAGCGCCGATGACCGGGATTGGCGAGGGTTGCCGTGGTGGTATCGATCGACGGGGGTTGCCTCTCCCCTCCCCATGTGGGTGAAAATATTTTCCCCCAGTATTGGTGAGTGAGTTTGCTGCTACGAGAAAAGCCCCGGCTCTGGCGTCGGCGCGCACCGTCTCCATCCTCGGTTATACTGGCCAGCTAAAACATATACGTTTGGCCCTGGGATTGGTTTCGTTGTACACCCGGAGAGAGCGTACGGGAGTGAATTTCGCGCGGCAGTTGTGTCCTGCGGTGCCTGGGAGACGGTTCGCCCCAAAAGTCCCTTTCACAAGATCCGTATAACGAGGGAGAGTGAAAAAGAGAGTGCAGAGAGGCGTTGGGGGGTTGGATTGCGGGGCGGAGGGGGGGGGATGAGGGAGCAAGTGTATCAAAGGGGGTAGGGAGAATATGCGCGAGACAAATCTGCGTACAAGTGCACGGTATATAAGGTATCGGAAAGGTGAGACGTGGTACATTAGTCGACGTTCAAAGCCGCAGACATCGTCACCGGAGGACGGGGGGGGATTGAGGAATTCCGTTGGAAAGATGTGAGAAATGTGATTTCGGGATTTTAGTGATTTCGGGGGGGGGGTTATGCATCCAACTAACAGCAACTGATTTGCTGGTACATTTTGCCAGATGATGGAACTGTGTTGGCTCGCGTTGTCATCGTCAGCATCAACGGGGATTGGTGGTACAGAGCGGACGAATCGCCAATCGTCTGCGTATTTACAGTCGCTGGGAAATTTAAATTGGCTGAGATTGCTGCGCTACAGGAGGCGAGGTACGTGTCGATGTGACAGGGGGACTCATGTATCCGATGTTAGGGTGAATAGTGGAGGGATTTTGATGAGAGAAACAATTGGGGGCATAAACTGTTGTAAAATCACTGGTGTTGAGGTGAGAAAGGGAATTGAGACACTGGGGGAAGAGGTAGAATCAGTGATTGAGGGAGATAAAGGAAGAGGGAAAGACTATTACAGATGCGGTGCTCCGGGGGGGCGGCCCGCGGCGGCGTGACGCGATGCGGACGCGCCCCTCCTGGACGAATGCTATCGGGAGGTACGAGAAATCAGGGTCCAGATCGGCAATTGGCCGGAAATTTAAATTACTCATCATTTTTGTGTCAATTGTCGGTTATGGAGATGTTACAAATGGCCAGCAGTACGAGTCCCTTCAGTCACTGCATCATCAACAGCAACAGCAACTCAAATACAGCACTAGGCAGGTTAAAACGAGATACGGCACGCTGCGGGGTATTGTCGCTAGATCGTCTCTTGTTGAAGGGGTTGAGGTGTATCTCGGTGTTCCATACGCAACACCACCGCTCGGTGCATTACGGTACATGCCACCGGTCACACCGACTCAGTGGCGGGGCACTAGGCTCGCTGATACAATGCCACCCCCGTGCCCGCAGAAGATACCAGGATCGAGTGATCCGACAATATCAAGACGCAGACGTGATTACATCGATAGGATTACACCGCTGCTCGTTAATCAGAGCGAGGACTGCCTTTATCTCAATCTTTACGTGCCACGGCCAGCCCACAGTGAGTAATAATTTATCTGTGTCTATGGGGCTTGAAACAACTCGAAAATTTCAGAGGGAAAAAGTTTAATTTCAAGTGGAGTACGAAACTGGAGGGGAAGGCACGGGGTTCTCAGCGACTTTGGGGATATCCGAGTATTTTCTGGTTTTGGAGGCGAACGTCGGAGCTTTCATTTGAATCATTTTATTGGGATATTATTTTATGATATTTTATTTTATTATTTGAAAAAATGTTACATATAAAAATCAATAATAATTGCTTCTTTATAATTTTTGTTTATTTTTTTATTTCATTTTATTGTATTATTATTTTATTACATTTTTTTTATTTTTATGGATATTGAATCGTTAGAAAACGTTTTTTAAATCTGAAAGAGAAATTGGAGTTTTTTTGGAGGAAGTTGATGAAATCATTTGTAAACAAGGAATATTTAAGAAAATAATAATTCTGTGCAAAAGGTAAATTGAATGACGCTGAATATTCGTAATTAAAGGAAAAAATTCTCACGCAATTTAATTGATAAATTTGATGATTGAAAATGACTGCATCTACACTGTTACAAATCTTTAGAAATTTCATGGAAAATGTGGTAGTCATTCGCGTGAGAATGACATTGAAACCGATTTAGAGGAGAAATGGTTATGCAATTTCCAGTTTTAGCTAGAATTCTAGGAAATTCATGAGTTTTCAGTGGCAGTGAGATGGAAATTGCACAACTTGATTGAATTCCAATGGAACATGAATATTCAGAAACAAAATGAATTTCCATGAATTTCCAATTTTTCCCTGAAAGTTCCTGATTTTTCCGAATTGTCACGGAATAATTTCACTGAAAAATCAAGTATTTTATTGATTTTCAGATCATTCGACCAGGAAATCAATGCAATATTTCCATTTTCAATGCCAACATTTCCTGAAATTTCAGTATAAATTAAACACCATAAAAATTTTCGGGATTTGACAAATCGTAAAAGATACTTGGATATCCTTAAAACCATCGTAAGAACAGCTAGAACCCCACACTGATAGAATGATTCATTTATTCCAAACGAGATTCGTTAACTATTAACGAATGGTAGAGTTGAATATGACCAAATGAATATTCGTTAATAGTTAACGAATGGTTCACTTGAATGGCGAAAGTCAAGTCAAACAAGGCTCCTCAAATATACATTCGCTAACTATTGACGAATGAACATTTGGTGGGACCGAATAGACCTTAACCTCCAACCAAAACCCATTCGTTAACAATAACAAATCCGTTCTATCAGTGCACTTACCCCTCTATCACCCCCAAACTGTGTAGTACATCAATTTAGAATTTTCCAGTACCAGCCCACACGGAGAGACAAATTCCCGAAAAATTACTGTGCCAGCCCGGTAGAATCCGTTCGTTCTAACGGATCCGGAAAAATTCCCGCGCCAGCAGCGGAAAATTTCCTGTGAAGTACAAGAACTTTCCTCGGATTTAACGTGAAAAATTCGTAGCGCACGGCAGAAATTCCGGTGTTGGCACGGTAATTTCTCCGGGTCCGTGCAAACGAACCCATTTTACCGTGCTACCCCAGTAATTTTTCTGGGATTTTTTAAAAACATATTTTTAGTGCACAGAGAAAAAAATTCCAGAAAAATCTCTGAAAAACCCTATAAAAAGCGCAAGAGCCACCTCCTCGGGCTCCCTCAGCAATCCCGAATGAACCTCTCTCTGCACCCCACACTGTTAAATAAATTTAACTGAATTTTCCAAAAAAAGACACTGAATTCAATTTAACGGAAAAAAGACTGAATTTTCAATGTAAACATGATAATTCAATAAGAAATCTCTTTGAAATTTCAAAAAATTGAAAATTCAAGAACATTTCTGCTTGAATTTCCCTAATTTCCCTACCTTCCATGTAACAATTCAACTGAAATTAAAAATTCCATGAATTTTCCACGAAAACCACGAATGTTCAATGGTAAAATTCCCTGAAATTTCCCCAAAACCGTCACTTGTCTCATATTTCAAGCCTAAAGCCTGTAAACTTCAGTGAAAATTGTTCAACAGTGCACCTGGAATTGCCACATTGTTATATATTTGTGCTCCTCATGTATTGAGCTCCCCAGCTGATGAATTTCTGCACACAGCGGAGATATGGCGGCTTTCAAAGGCGCATAATACGGTGCATTGAGGAGAGTTTGGCGGCTCACCGTCACCCCCCGCCGGTATTACTCTGCCTCTTCGCTCCGTCCTCTCCAGTTTTCCCACCTCCCCCTCCCCCTCCCGCTTTTCTATTTTCGGTTCATAGCGTGCCCGGATGAATGATATCGAGCGACGAAAGGAGAAACCGCAAGGAGATCGTCCCTCACTGGGGTCCAGCCAACTGTACTTGAGCGCCCCGAATACCCCCGAATGAGGCAAAATATGTACATATATTTTACCACGAACACTGGAATTGCAATCTCAATGCAAACAGGGGGCGCCCCCCCACCCAAGGGTTTTGTATTTCGGAGGCCGGCACTATCTCACGACGCGTTGCCACTTCAATTCCGTAGTGCATTGTAGTCGTTTCGATCCAGCGATAATAGAACCTGCAAGCACCGCGGGAGTGAGGTGGTCTCGTGTCAAAGCTACGTATATTCTTCAGCGTCGCATCGTGGATTCTCTTATAAATATAAAAAGCGTCAATTTATCATGCGGATGAATGGAGATTGGGGATGAGGTGATGATTTATTATTAAACTGTGAATTGAATTTTTATTCAACACTCGGCGGCGCCGGGGCGGAGGGAGGGGCAGGGGGAAATTAAATTCCACGAGGACACGAGGAAAGTGGATTAATTGAAAGTGCAGACGGAGGACAACAGATTAAAAAGTTGGGGGGAACTTTTGGACTGTGCGGTGCGGCGCAAACTACATTAGCCCCCTCTCCACCGCATCTTGACGGTCAACCCCTTGGCCGGATATGCCACGAGCCGTCAGGATCCATATTCGCAACAGGTGGACGTGTCATGCTCCTGTCCCTGTCTATTTCCACCTCCTCAATTCCACCCTGGGAGGGCCTCCCTACACCCTGTTAAACTCATTCGCAATAACCGTTCTCATTTCGGGGAACGATCAAACTGTTAAATAAATGAAGAATACGTGTAGCCGGGTGGGGACGGGCGAGCGGGTTTATTGCTCTTCTTGGGGGATTTTTTTTCTTTACAGTTTTATCTCGTTGCAGGCAGTAGCACGGAATTGCTGCCGGCTCTGCTCCTTATCCACGGTGATTCGTACACGTGGGGAACGGGGAATTCATTGGACGGCACTGCCCTCGCCGCACACGGCAGACTCATCGTAGTATCTATTAATTTTCGTCTCGGTGTGCTAGGTAATGTTGGTAAATCGTTGATTATGATTTTTTATTGCAGTGGGAGGTACTTTTAGCGGGGGGGGGGGGGGGG